GCATAAGTTCCCCGTTCCTTAATTTGGCGTCTATTATATAAGTTGCAGTAAGTAAACGTAAGTAAAGCGTGGAAGCTCACGAGTAAGCACCAGGCAGCCTATATTTATCCCCTTTCACATGGACGTGGACTATGAACACGAGTTACGGTATGCTTCCATCAGTGACCGTGAAAGGCCTACTCGGCGACTGACATGGTGCTTGACTTCCGCAGGGGCCAGTAGCTGTGGTATAATAATATTGTCGGCCCTGTTATCTGCCACCGTGCGGCGGCGGATGCATGCTGCCCTCGCAATCTGCCATGCTATGAGCGAAATCATGTATTTCCTATCACAGCGCGGTCACCCCATGAATCAGCACTACTAGGAGTCCAGAACCGAGGAAGATAGCAGCGCAATTTCTATCTGGCGGTGGACCTTTGCCGCAACAGTTCGTTCTCACACCCTGTCATACTCGTCTTCTGTGCACAGAGCAAGTGGGGCTGCTAGCTTGTTATTCGCTTGCTGAACTTCAGCTAATCGACGTCGGGGTTTTGGCAAGGCATCTCGTGCTCATAATCTTGATAAGAGTGCCAGTGACCCCCTGAATCCTTACGCCTTCTTAGCCCTCGCTCACCAGCATAGGTCCCAAGGCCTCTCGCTCTCATCCCGCCCCGTAAACCTCTCTCGCTCTCATCCCGCCCCAAGGTCTACTCCAGTCCTAGCAAAGCGTCGAGAGCAATGGGCACCGGGTACGCAGGTGGTACTCTTGCTCGTAATCTCTGGCTTAACAACCAGCACTAGTACTACCAATACTCTATCGGAGCTGAAGGCTCTGTCCAAGATTATCCAGGACTCCATTGATTCCATTGAGGCCTCACTGGCATCGAAGAACATGGAGTTCCCTTCGCCTCACACGCCGATATCTCTAGAGTCTGAGGCAGCACGCATGCAGCCAGAGGTCGACAGGGCATGCGCTCTTATTATTTCCGCTGCTTACCAACTTATCACCTCCGTCCGCTCGCCGATACTTTCCATCACAGCCGTGTCAACACAGGTATGACAAACAAGTTCCAGGAAGACTAACCTCACGAACTACCTTCTTGTAGCACACCCTGTCCGCCTCGCTAGGCGCTGTAGCAGCGGCTAATGTGGCTGAGGCCTTGAGAGAAGCCGGTCCCAAGGTTTGTCGCGCTTCCGTGGTGCAGTCAAACTATCAGCTCATGGTGCCGCGTCGCAGGGAGCACATGTAAATGAGATTGCTCGGGCGAGCAATATCGACCCGTCAAAGCTTGGTACACGTCCTCACATCCCTCCCACGAAACTTGTGTCTGACGGCCGCTTCAGCACGTGTCCTCCGTGTACTCGCCACTAATCATATCTTTGTCGAAGTCGCACCTGACGTCTTCACGCACAACCGCATCTCGTCCTGCCTGGACACCGGGAAGTCTGTCAAAGATATTCTCGCCAAGTATACCATTTCTACTTGCTCAATAGACGCGGGCTAATGCAGCTATCCAAGCCCCGAGGCAAAGCATATTGGCACTCTTGGTCAAGTTGCAGGTGTAGAGTACGGGTGAGTTGCTTGCCCGAGTGTCGATTGACGACATTAGATTAACAGTGTCGTCAGCACGGATGAGGGTTTGAAGGCAGGAGGATATCTACGAGATATGCTCTTGGATCCCAAGATTGCCAAGTCGCAGGAGCCAAATGAGACCGCATTGAGTCTTGCCTTCAATACAAAGCTGGACGCATGGGAGTGGTATGAGCAGAAGGGTAACGAGTATCGTCTTCAGCGCTTTGGCATTGCATTGGAGGGTATCAAGCAGGCGGGTCCTCGGAATGCGATCCTCGAGGGTACGTACCTTGTATAAGGCATTCTGATTGAGATCATGACTGTATGATTAGGCTTCGACTGGAAGAGTCTGAAACAAGATGCGGTCGTTGTAGATGTCGGCGGCGGAGTTGGCTCCCAGTCCATGAGACTTGCCCAGAACTTTTCACATCTACGCTTCGTGGTTCAGGATCGCGAACAAATCGTGAAGGACGCTGTTGAGGTACGTATTTTATCTACGCAATCATCAATTACTAGCTGGCTCACTGCCTTTTCAGTTCTGGAATGGCCAATTACCCGGCGCCGTGAAGTCTCAGAAGGTCATCATCCAAGGCGAGTAACCCAACGTACAACGATGACCACCGGGACTTATACATGATGCAGCACATGATTTCTTTACTCCTCAACCGGTCAAGAATGCCTCGGTCTTCCTTTTGCATACCATCCTCCATGACTGGTCCGACGACTACTGTATTCAGATCTTGCGCCACCTTCGGGATGCAGCTGCGCCAGACACTCGCCTCCTGATTGTTGATAGCCTCCTCCCGTACGCATGCGAGGATGACAGCCTGGAGGGTATTGCAGGCGTCGAGCGTCCAGCCCATCCCAAACCTCTGCTTCCGAACCTGGGGCATTCCGCAACCCTTTTGTACCATGCGGACGTGCAGGTGCGCCTTTTGCTCTTACGTCGCAGACCGCCCACCATATTGATGCAAAAAAACAGATGATGACAATTTTCAATGGGAAAGAGCGCACGCCGAAGCAGGTGAAAGAGCTCATGGAGCAGACCGGCTGGAAGGTCGTACAGGTTCATCCGTCTCCCGCCTTCGGCTCCGCCAAAGTCATCGGCGTTCCAGAGAATACTGCATAAATAGTACTACAATCGGCTCCCGGGACCCAGGTTTCCGTTCTTGCCATGCACTGCGCTGAGCGGCCCCGTCGAGGCTCCATAGTTGTTGCTCGCGGTGCCCGCCGTATACTGCGTCCAAGTTACTGGTCGTTTTCTGATGGCGCACGGTACTTCCGTCGTCTTGTTTCCCCCTCTGAATTTGTCGGCATAGCTTAGTCAGCCTCAGCCTCAGTGTAGATCTCAAGGCGTATAGCCTGGGACAGTATCATGTTTATTCTCGTGGCTCGGTTTTGCTGTTTGAAAATGCATCAAATACTCGCCGTTCACATCCGATTGGAAGATATTATATATCGCAATGAATCCGCGGTCTGTGGTTTGGCAGGAAAGCGTCACAAGGTCTCTACGTGATCTAATCGCCTGATGCGCTCTTCCCGGCTTGGCTATCATCGCTATGAGTCGTATGTGGATTCCGCGCAACGTTTCAACGCAACAGCTACCATGACCAAGAAAGCAAGGCGACGGCAATGTAGGTCGCAATATATGGCATTGCGTGAGTCGCCATTTCAAGGGATCGCCTGGCTGAGCGGCTCATAATTCTCCTTCAGATGAGAAATCCCGGTCTGGGCCGTTCTTAACGTTCAGCCACTCTTGGAAGCGACTCCCTGTTGAGCTGCGCGACTACACACACGACTTGGTGAAGATAACCAATGACATAAATGTAGTATCAAAGCTCTCCTTGGTCTCGAAGGCTTAGTCCCGACACTTTCGCCCTCATCTCTTCACCGAACTCGGTTTGAGGAGCGAGGAGGACTGCTGTATGCTCTATGGTACACTGCAATCCCCGCTATCAGCCTGGCTTGCAAGACACATTACTATGCTGTAGTTTGATATCAAGCACTACCCCAACCGTCCACTCTGGATCACACTCCTTCGCCTTTTACCGGCATGCCGCACCGTCATCCATCGTGATTGCGATGGCCCCCCTGGACGTGTGTCGCATAATGCAGCTCTGAAGAGCTCATTGCAGAATCTCACATATCTAAACTTACACCACTGCGAATCCCTGTCATTCTGAATCCTGCTCCGTGTATTGGTGTCATGAATATCACACATTTTGGATGGTTCTCCCGAGTTCCATGGTATTCTTTCACTTTCTATACACCTCCGTATATTCGTAGGATATTCTAGATATTCAGTCCGACATGTATATAAGGAGCTCATACTGCTCAATAACAAGCCAGACTCGAGCTGGTCTTTCCTCACTCACTTTCCTCTCGTCTGTCTCCTCAGCTTTGTCGTAGCTCAGTCCAGTTGGATTGTTAGTTGCTGACATTAGCTCGAGTCTCCACCAACTGCCCTATGACGATCCCCGTCACTCTCACACCAACCATCACACATCTCCACACGACGATCCATCTCATATCACCCAACCGAAATCTCACCCTAAACCTAACCCTATCGACTCTATCGCATCAAGACCCCGGGAACCTTTCTCCGTGCACTTGCACATAACCACCTCCCTATCCGATCCCTGGTAATCCCTTGCTCCGTTGGAGCTCGACCAGGTCGTGTTTGTATTGGATTCGTGCCCCGGCCTACCATAGCTGGCACTAAACGTGTTGTGCAGTGCACACGGTTATCCTGAGTACGACGTGGCAACCGGCTGAGGCTGGGCGTCAGAAAAGAGACAAAGCTTCATATCGGCAATCCCTACCCCAGGCGTTGGACCAAGAGAGACATAATTGCTCTCTTGGGGCTTTGAACTATATCGTAGAACTGTAAAAATTCGAAATTCCGTATATACACCGACCAAATCCCTATCTTGGCAAATTCTACCTCTGATCCGGTCGTTCCAACACGATTGGTCCCAGAGTTGCTGCAAGATAAGCTTCACAGACCCGACAACCTATGACCACACCTTCCTGTGATTGTAGAGGACATACGCACCGAGTACTAGAGGAGAGATCCATATACATACGTGGCGATAACGTACGATACTGTGTGCAACAGCCGTGTCCACATTCCCTGGATAATAGTACTTGTTGTCCCCGGTGTAGAGAAGGATTACGTGGAGAACTGCTACAAAGAGTTCCCACAGGAGCACCTTCCGAATCGATCGCAGTCCTGCAACCCGTAGCATCCGGTTCAGAACCCAGAACCAGACGAGACACCCTTGAGTCCGTCACCGATCACCTCCGCTCAATTGCCCTCGGAGAATCCAAAGCACCACTAGAGGGCCCACCAGACCCCGTAGAAGAAGTGGTAGAAGATTCGGAAGCCTCGGACCCACCTTCCTGACGTTCTCCCACTCCACCTTCATCCCCATCCGATCCCGGCGCAATGGCCGATAACCAAGACAATGCCGCGTTCCTCAATGGAAGCGCGATGAAACCAGACGCCTTCGACGGCACGAAATCCAAGTACATCGCTTGGAAAATGCAGATGAAGCTATACGTAGTCACGCAGAGGAAGCAGCTACCGGAACAATTTGACAGAGTTCTTATGATTCTGTCCTACATGAAAGGAGGACATGCTGGCGAATACGTAGCCACGTTCATGAAGAAGTACGACACGGATGAGAATGCCGTGATACAGACCACAAAAGCACTGTGGGAAGATCTAGACAAGCATTTCCTAATCAATGAACAAGCTGAAGCATACAATCGGCTTCAGGCAATGCAAATGGGAATGCTATCCGCACAGGAGTATTTCTCAAAATTCAAGTTGTGTGCCTTCCAGGCGAATATTCACGATTTCGAAGCGCATTTCCAGGAACTCAAATTGCTACTGGAAAAGGCACTACGGGCCGACATCATTCAGCTCCTATACAACTCCTTAGAAGAACTCCCCACCACATACGTGCTCTATAAGCTACGGGTCGCGCGCATCGACCTGAACCAGCAGCAATACCGTAGGCGAAACCCGCAGCCCCAATGACAAGGGCAATTCCAGCCACGGCAGCAGCAGACACAAAATACACCACGAACACCGGCTAACGTAGCCGCGCCGGCTGCAAACGCCCCGGTTCAAACACGCCGCGATGGGACAGGTGTCACGTTCGGCGGCAGGGGCCAGCCAATGGAGCTAGACCAGGCACGACGCTTGGGTCTTTGCTTCCGATGTGGAGAAAAGGGACATCTTTCGCGCAATTGCCCCAATCGGCAACAAGCTCAACAAGTACGAGCCGCAGAAACCCCAGTGGTTCCCACTACCAATACATTCACACCACTCGCATCGCTCACCGAAGCCCCTGCTGCGATGGCAGAACCATTTGATTGGAAGGCGGCAATTCGCGAAGAAATTTGCGCGGCCATGAAGGGTTTTGCAAGCGGTCAGCCAGGCGCGTAGCCGAGTTGACCGAACGTAATTTCACGAACTATCTGTGTTCTTAGTTTGGAGTAGCAATGTATATACCAAAAAAAGAGGCGTCCGCAGAGCGGCGCGGAGAGGCTCAACCCTCTTGCTTAATTCCCCCGAATAAAAAATTATTACCTACACCAGAACATCAGACCGAACCTACGCAGTGGCAGCGCCACACACCTTGGACAGCGGCTTGGATCCGCCAATGGATAATCAGCAAAGAAGCCGCAGCGCTTGGATTGTTGACTGAATGGGTACACTCAAAGAAGAGTGTTGACGCCTCCGAAGCCTGTATGAACCAAATCAGGCAAATGAAAGAAGAAGAAGCCATAGACTTCTTGAATGAATTACGAAAACAACCTCGATTTATCCGAGGAAGGAAGGGGACACAGATGGACGTTCCCATGATCATCACCACCCTAGACACACAGCAACGCTTATCAGTCAAAGCGTTATTAGACACAGGATGTACTGGATCTTCGATTGATGCACAGTTTGTCCGCGATAACAACATTGCCACAAAGAAACTGCCATCACCGATCCCTGTCTATAACGCGGACGGCACGCACAATGCCGGCGGTGCTATCACCGACTTCGTTGAGTTAAGGGTGGAAATTCAGGACCACGTGGAACGACTTCCGTTTGCCGTTACCAATCTAGGGAAAACTCCAATTTTCCTTGGATATGAGTGGTTACAGATTCACAACCCATCTATTGATTGGCAGGAACAAATCATTCAATTTGATCGGTGCCCGATTACCTGCAAATATGCTGCCCGATTAATTGATATTGATGCCGATCAGGAAGAGCCCAGCGATCTGGAGGCTCACCTAGAAGAAGGGGATAGAATCTTCATTCTAGACCATGAAACATACTTTGCTACGGGAGCAGCACGTATTCGCACCACAGCCACCAATCTAGCAATCAAAGAAAGCCTGAAATACGAAGCCAAGACTTTTGAAAATACCGTCCCGAGTCACTATCATAATTACTCTGACGTATTCAGCAAAGAAGACTTTGACTCGCTACCGCAAAGACAACCATGGGACCATGCAATCGAGCTCACACCAGGCGTGCAACTGATCAGTTGCAAAGTTTACCCTATCTCTGTAAGCGAACAAAGAGAACTTGATGAGTTCATAGAAGAGAACCTCCGAACTGGGAGAATCGGACCATCCAATCTCCGTGGGCTTCTCCATTCTTCTTCGTCAAGAAAAAAGATGGACGACTTTGACCCGTACAAGATTATCGAAAGCTGAATGAGCTGACAATTAAAAACCGCTACCCACTTCCTTTGATACAGGAACTAGTGGACAAGTTGAAGCAGGCGTGGTACTTTACGAAATTAGACGTCCGATGGGAATACAACAATATCCGCATCAAGGAAGGAGATGAAGAGAAGGCAGCATTCCTAACAAATTGAGGATTATTTGAACCACTTGTCATGTTTTTTGGTCTTACCAATCCCCCGGCTACGTTCCAAACCATGATGAACAATATATTCCGAGATCTCATCAGTCAAGGACACGTGGTAGTCTATCTAGACGACATCATGATCTTCACTCAAGATTTAAAAGAACACCGTCGGATCACGCAGCCAGTTCTTCAGATCTTAAGGGAACACAAACTTTATCTGAAACCGGAAAAGTGCGAGTTCGAGAAGGCAGAGATAGAATACCTTGGGATGATAGTAGGAAAAGGAGTTGTTCGCATAGACCCAGTTAAGATAGAAGGAGTTGTCAACTGGCCCCGGCCCGAGTGCAAACGAGATATCCAGGCGTTTCTCGGATTTACCAACTTCTACCGAAGATTCATCCGAGATTATGGCAAAATAGCAAAACCGCTCAGCTCATTAACGGGAAATGCTACTTTCAAATGGACTGTCGACCAAGAAGTAGCCTTTACGAGCCTGAAGAACGCTCTCTGCACAGTGCCAGTACTAGCTATACCCAATGATGACGATCCATACCGAGTAGAATGCGACGCCTCAGACTTTGCCATAGGAGCGGAATTAGCCCAGAAGCAAGATGGCAAATGGAAACCTGTTGCTTACCTGTCTAAAGCCATGACAGCTGCCGAAAGAAATTACGAGATTTACGACAAGGAACTTCTCGCGATCATGACTAGTCTTGATGAGTGGCGTCAGTACCTTATGGGCGCCATACATCCGTTTGAAATATGGACGGATCACAAGAATCTAGAATACTTCCGGAAACCGCAGAAGCTCAACTGGCGGCAAGCCCGATGGGTAACCGAGTTAGCTGAATACCAATACTCGTTGCATCACAAACCTGGTAAATCTAACGGCAAAGCAGACAGATTATCTCGCCAAAAGAGACACAATGCAGGAAAGGAGGACAATTCAGATATCGTGTTACTGAAACCAGAACATTTTTGTGCCCTGATTCGTAGTACCGTATTTAGTTTAGAAGGAATCGACCAGGACTGGATCACAGAAATTAAAAAATACAAAAAGAACCAAGATTCGCTAGTTACCATAGCCTTACAGAACAAAGAGAAAGACTGGAACGAAGATAGTACCGGACTCGTGACCTGGAAGAACCGTATTTACGTACCAGTAAATAGAAAACTCCGTGAGCAAATCATTGCTCATCACCATGATACCCCATTGGCTGGACACCCTGGTCAATACAAGACGCACGAAATGGTCACGCGTGACTACTGGTGGCCCTGAATTCGAGAAGATATCAGGAAGTACATGGCCGGATGCAAAAAATGCCAGAAGACCAAGGTTCATACAACATGACCTACCGGACTTCTATTTCCGAACGAAATTCCTTCACGACTCTGGGAAGTAATCTCCGTGGACAAGATAGGCATATTACCGGAATCTTTCGGGTACAACGCTATCCTCGTGATTGTCTGTATGTACTCTAAACAGATAATCACGATACTAAGTACCATTGAGCTCAACGCCGAAGGATGGGCAAAGGCACTCCGCGATAACGTAGTCGCACATCATGGATTACCCCGAAAGATCATCAGCGATAGGGGAACTGAATTCAAGAATCAGTTCATCTCCGAACTATACCGATCTCTCGGAATCGAAGCCAATCCTTCAACCGCGTATCACCCTCAGACAGACGGACAAACGGAACGCATCAATCGCGAGATAGAACAATACCTCTGATTATTCATCAACTACCGACAAGCAGATTGGGCCGAATGGTTGCCACTCGCGGCCTTTTCCTATAACAATAAAGTCCACTCGTCTACCGGGTATACTCCGTTCTTCGTCAATAAAGGGTATCACCCTTATGAGGGAACCCAACCGGTACGAGAAGGATTAAGCGAAAACGTCCAACAGTTTGTCGACAGAATGGATCGAGTATGTGAGGACACTAGCGCGGCTATCAATCTAGCGCAGGAAACCATGAAGCGCTTCTACGACAGGAAGAGGAAGAGTGGACCGGAGTACAAAGTAGGGGATAAAGTTTGGCTAGAAGGGATAAACATCCGAACTGACAGGCCGGTGAAAAAGCTTGACGATAAGCAATATGGACCCTTCAAGGTCAAACGCAAAGTCGGTGCTTCCGCCTATGAGTTGGAACTCCTACGTTAATGGAAACAACACCCTGTTTTCAATGAAAGCCTCCTTAGTCCCTTCAGAGAACCCACGTATCTCTCACAGCGACGAGAGCCGATAGTCCCTGACCTCATAAATGGCGAGGAAGAATGGGAAGTCGAAGACATTCTTGATTCCCATCGTGATCAAAATGGGAACCTGGAGTATCAGGTACTCTGGAAGAACAGTCCCCACGGCGATCGCCGATCCTGGGAGTCACGGGCAAACTTGACCAACTGTCAAGAACTCCTTCAGGAATTCCATGCTAGACGTCCCGACAAACCCGCGCCTATGACGATTCAAATTCCCCCTCTATTAACATGACCTGTTCACATACTCACACATGATACCACTCTTTTGGTACAACGAATGGGTGGAATTCTCCCAAAGCAAGGATCGGAAGAATCTGCTGGGTTTGATCTTTACTCGGCTGAAAGCGTTAAGATACCGGCACGAGACCGCAAGATTGTCGGCACCGGCATAGCAATGCATGCCCCTCACAGAACCTACGCGCGAATTGCGCCACGAAGTGGGTTAGCAGTCAAGGGGATAGACGTCGGCGCTGGAGTCGTAGACCGAGATTACACCGGAGAAGTACGCGTAGTGTTAATCAATTCCACCAATCAACCCTTCCAGGTACGCGCCGGCGATCGAATCGCACAAGTCATTATGGAACGCATTGCGTCATGTGATATCGAGGAGGTGTCGAGTTTAGCAGAAACTCAACGAGGATCAGGGGGTTTTGGATCGACTGGTAAATAATCGTGAGGACACGATTCTAGACGGGGGGGTAATGTCATGAATATCACACATTTTAGATGGTTCTCCCGAGTTCCATGGTATTCTTTCACTTTCTATACACCTCCGTATATTCGTAGGATATTCTAGATATTCAGTCCGACATGTATATAAGGAGCTCATACTGCTCAATAACAAGCCAGACTCGAGCTGGTCTTTCATCACTCACTTTCCTCTCGTCTGTCTCCTCAGCTTTGTCGTAGCTCAGTCCAGTTGGATTGTTAGTTGCTGACAATTGGCGGATACCACCTATCTAGAGATCGTCCTACTCAGCGACGTCACATGGTTAGGTGGACCCCCAGTGAGAGTTGACAGTGCAAGCAATGTCTGCTGTGGCTCTTGCAGCCATATTCGTGATGTCCGGCAGTCAAACTGCATGGACAACATGGCAGTGTCCGCTTGGATCCTTGCTGCCGCGAGTACGCAACACTCATTCTCCCGACATCGGATTACGGGGCCGGCAGTCCCTGCAGAGACAAGTCGGTTGGAGAGCGAAGCTCTTGGAGAACTTGAAGCTCAACTTTGACGGTAGGGTCAGAAGTCGGGACCAGTGCTCCAGCTTGAGCTTGAAACAAGAACGAAGTGTACTGTAGATTTTCGACCT